AATATAGGGTGCAATTGAAATTGACCACATCTTATAATTTCAAAGCTAATAGTAAGAGTGAAAAGAGGTACCTTCCAATTATTCAAGCTTTGATCAAGGCATGTAGGAGTCAATTAAGATTGTGGCCTAGATTTTTGTTATTTGCTTTATAGATAGATAGAACTACTTATAGCACAATTACTCGCTACATGATAGTAAAGTTGATATTGGAACAAAAGCCCTTAATTCCAATAGAAGGGTCTATTTCTTCTTGATTGTTTTTATCTTGAAAAGTTGATATTGATATGGAGAGATTATTGGAGCTTTGAATTTGTTAATTAGAGAGATTTCTTAAAAATCATCAAGTTACTATAGAAAGGCTTAAAGCAACAAGATTGAACAATAAAGAGAAGTTCAATAAAATTCACCAGTTGAAGCCTAAAGAAATTAAAGAAGGTGATTGGATTTTGATTTATGATAGTAGTTTGATGCACCAATATTCTATTATTTGTAAGTTTGCACTACGTTAATTTGGATCCTATGTAGTAGTTGAAGTGCATGAGAATGTAACTTAATTTCTATGAGAATTAGATGGGATATCATTGAACATAAGGATTGCAAGAAAGTAAATTAAAAATGGAGATTGGGAGAGGGTTAGAGATATAGATTTTTTGCATTAAAGATTTTATTTATGTACTTTAATAATTTGAAGTTTATTGTATGAATTAAGATCAATAAGCTAAAATTTACCTAAATTATATTAGTAATATGTCAATTATAAGTATTTTAATAAGATGTGATTTGAGTTTAAGATTTAAGTTAGGAATTGGATACACCTTAACACAAGAAAGAAATTAGTCTAAATTTTGTACTTAATCTTTGGCTATCTTTTTATATTTGACTTTATTTAGAAATATTATACTTTTTATAATCTACTTATAATCAAAGATCCTATATTCTAGGATTAAGATTTATTATAAATATTTTTGATGCTCCAAATATAAGTATTATAATTCTTTGTTGATTAAATATTCTTCTTCAAAGAAAAGAAAATAAATTTTCTTCAAAATAATAATTTTAAAAATGCACATATAATAATGTATGAATTAATGGATCAATAATACAAATAATGTTTGATGGATCAAAACCAATATATATGTCTTCTTTGTTGATGAGCTCCAATGGTACACTGCTGAGGTTTTGATACTAGAACCCAAGCATGGCAACCTAACATTTGTAGGTAAAATATATTAGGAACATAATCTAAAATGAATTCTTGTGGTGTAATAATTTCAAGAAAAGAGATAGAAGCATATTAATGCCTCAGCATGTAAAATTATATGATGCCATATAGATGCACATAAATTTATATGCATGATTGTAGAAGCTCTTTCTTACAAGAAACAAGATCCTGAACCTCAAACCATTGAGGAAGCAATGTGTTGCTTTGACTTATTAAAATGGAAAAATGTCATTGAAGAAGAGTATATCTCTTCATATGAGAGAAAAGTCTTTTGTCCAATTGTAGATACTCTTATATATTGCCCTATAGAATATAAGATGGTATTAATATACAAGCACGATACCAAAGGTCAAATAATCTACTATAAAGCTTATCTTGTTGCCTAAGGATTTATCCAAAAATTAGGCATTGATTATAAATCCACATATTGTCTAGTCATGGATTCAATTATATTTTAATATATTATTGAAATAGTAGTCTATGCTACTCTTGAGATGTGTTTCATGGATGTGGTAACTACATATTTGTATGGTTCTTTTGATGTACATATTTATATGAAAGTTCTACCTAGTTTGGAAACAAAAACTCCAGAAGCACCTATTCAAAGATGATATTGTGGTACTAAATTACATAAGGCCTTGTATGGTCTAAAATAATTTAGACATATGTGGTATCAACGTCTCTGAGATTATTTAATTACAAATAAATTTATAAGTGATCTACAAATCCTTTGTTTGTTTATCAAATATGATAAAAACTAGTTTTGTGATCTTTGTTGTATATGTTAATGATCTTAACCTACTGGATACTAGATCTGCATGTATTGTACCTATTAACCTACTTATCTATAAATTTGAGATGAAAATGCTAGGAAAAAAAACTTTCTATATTTGTCTTCAAATTAAACATATTAAATATGGTAGCATTATTTTCTACCAACTAATGTATATTAGATAAATCTTATTGAGATTCAATATGATTGATGCTTATCTATTATCAAGACCAATAATTTAATGTAGTTATGATGGTGATGATCCATACCATTTGTGCAAGGAGGAAGAAGAAATAATACGAGATCAATATCTATACCTTATAGGAATTGAAACACTTTTATATTTAGCTACATCTACAAGTGTCGATATTGCATTTGCAGTTAGTGTTCTTATAAGATACAATGCACGTCTAATAATATGACATTGGAATGGCATCAAATATTTATTACATTATTTAAAAGACATTGAAGACTTTAAAATATATTATACACGATCTGCAAATCCAAAGTTGGTTGGATATTAAGATGCGAGATATAAATCTGATATTGCAAAAGCTAAATCTCAAAGAAGCTATGTATTCTTAAGACATGGAGTTGCAATATTAAGGAAATCAGTGAAATAAACTATAATTGCAACTTTATCTAACCATGCAAAAATTATTGCCTTACATGAAGCAACTTGAGAATGTATTTAGTTGCGATCAATTGATAAACTCATTTAGATAACCTATAGACTTTCATATGATAATTCTTCAATTATTTTACATGAAGAAAATAGTGCTTATGTTACACAAATGCAAGTTGATTTCATTAAAGGCAATAAGAAAAAGCATATTGATCCAAAATATTTTAGTTATATCCATGACTTGGTTATTGATCAAGCCTTTAAAATTAAAAAAAATTAAATCTATAAATAATCTTATTGATTTCTACACCAAAGCTCTTTCTTTGTGCACCTATTGCCGACTTATTTATGGCATTGATATTAGGCAACTTACTTTTCTTAAGAAAAAAAGTTAATGAATTTTTTAAATAATTAAGAAAAATGAAGTTGTACTCTTTTTTCCTCATCTATGGTTTTTGCCCTTGAATGTAATAAGATTTTTTCAGATAAGGTTTTAATGAGACAACAACTGTTAATCATGCAAGATTACAAAAAAGTATAGATTATAATTCTATGCAAATTCTATCTTATATAAATATTATAATAAGCAAGGAGGAGTTTTGAGAGCATTAAATGTAGCCAACACTCTCCATAACATTCACTATAGTTACAACAAATATTGTAGCTATAATGTTTAGAATGTAGTGGGGAGAAATTGCTTATCCTCTCTTTATTATATCAATACATAGTTTTGTTTAGAAGCTCTCTTTTCTTCTATATATTCTCTTATGTGTGTGTGTATGTGTGTGTTTTGTATGTATGTACATTACTTCTAGCTACTCTTATGTCTCTCTATAAAACATTTTCAACATATACAAGAATATGTTAGTGACAACAAAATTGATTATACTTTCAATAAAGTAAATAGGTCAATATATATACACTTATCATAAATATAGTTCATGAATGAAATCATATCAAAATTAGAACCTAACATATTTTGTTTTAATAAAGATATATCTATAGGTGTAATGTGCCAAATTGATATATTGTTATTAAGCTTGATAATTCAAATTCAGAAAATCTGCTTTTGATTGTCATTCATGTGCTTCAGACAATCACAAAAAATGGCTAAACATTCTATAAATTTACACACCACAATTGAAAAATGGTAGATAAAATATGTTGATTAGAAATACATTATGCATGATACAGTTCTAATAACAATTCAGCAAACCAATTGATAACAAATTGATAATTCTTATAACAAGATCTCAATTGTTCTGAACACATACACACTGACATCAAATTACAATTGAAGCACATCAAGGCAAAACTTCTAATGTTAACCTCCATCACAAAACTTCTAATGTTAACCTCCATCATTTTATAAATGAATGCATTAATGCAATAATACTACTTTCAAGGAAATGATCAAACAAATAAACATTCAAAAATTACACATACCAAGAAAAGACCAACAGAAGTGACGAAACTCAAAAACTCAAAGAAAATTGTCAAAAAAGAGAAACAAACAAACAAACAAACAAACAAAATAACAGATACATTAGCAATTTATTTTTGTTATTCCGAACTTAAAAAAAAAAAACGTAGTTAAGTTTGGCTACAATTCCTCCTCCAGATTTAAACAGTGGTCCCAAAAACACCCTCATTAATACAGTCAGCAACGTATCACGAGTCAAAACGAACTCTCTCCCTTTATGATAGTATTTTGGTTTTTTTAATGTTTTGTGATTTTGTCTTTTTGCAGTCCCTCTCCAATGAACGGCCAACTAAAATTATCCTCCCTACATCTATCCATCCATCCGTCCATCCATTTATTCACCCACCCATCCATCAAACCTTCCACATATTCATCCTAATACCCATTCATCCAGCCGTCCACTCAACCTTCCATATATTCATCCATATACTCAGTCATCCATCGATCATACACACATTCATCTAACCACCCATTCAACATTCCACATTTTCATTCATCCATGTATTCATCCACTCGTTCCTCATAATTTTCTACCCAGGGTACCCATGCATTCTTAATATCCTTAGTATTCTTATGGTGAAGCAAGCACGGCGGCAGGCTTTTGTCAAGGCAGGCAGGCGCGCATGGCATGGCAAGGCGGGGGGGGGGGGAGGGTTGCATGGCGCACTTCCGCTGCAATCAATCAGTCTGCGCTGTGGATTCATTCGCAGCCACGTTGGCATCGCTGAACCCCCAGTCTCCGTCACTCTGAATTCAACCCCGCCATCCACTTTATTATATTCCCGGCACGGCGTCTGGAATGGGACAATATCACATCACATCGCCTTTAGAACCGGTCAACATCAGGATGTCACTCGCAATAATGAGGTGGGGGAGCTCTTGGGTCGCGGTTTTTTTTGCCTTCCCCTCATTGACGGGCGTCTACCATTTTCGGATTCGAATTCTCTCCCGAAGCGTTATTTTATTTTATTTTTTTTTTTTTTCTATTATGAATCGGACACTGGTTGATTTCGTACGGCTGATTTTGCTCCCACTTCTTTGATCTCCCTGCTCATCGTACTATCACTGTACCAAGCTACAAAATCAGTGCTGCGCAGGGTGTTGTTGCGGAGATTCTGTGCATTTCGTTGATGAGCAATCGAGGAATTATGTGAGGATATATACATATATTTATACTTTAAAAAATATGGCAGCTGAATCGGGTGCTAGTTTTGCACATGAGTCGTAATCAAAAATGTACTTCGGTGGAGGGATCATGATAGGAGGGATCCGTTAGATGGGATATTCCATTACGAAATGTTGTTGGGGCCTCTTGAGCTGCTGGGGGGGATCCATATCTTGAGTTTGGACCGTGAGAATGATGGAAATTACTGAGGGTTTCGTCGGTGCTTGGTGGGGGTGCTGAGGTGATCGAATTCCATCGCGCGCTGATATAGATGTTCATCTCACGCTTCTCCTGCCAGTGAATTCGTGGCTCTCGTAGATTAAGAACGATGCACGTTGAAAGCTCCAAATCGTAGTAGAGACGTACTCTTTCAATGATCTTTGACGACGTTGGAATCTGAAAAGCGTGAGTTTGCAAATCGCTTAGATTGAGCAGTGACAGTGTGAAGCCGTTGTTGTAGCTATGGCGAGAGGGGAACATGGTGGCCAGACCAGTACTAGCGGGTTGCTTGGGGGATTATCGCCTCAGATAGAGGAAAAACTAAGTGGTAACAGGAAGCCTTGCTTGATGTTCACAGTAGCTTGCGTGCTTTCTAGTATTTTTGCTTTATCGGCGTTGTCCATCATCACGAACTCATGCGAGGAAAGAATCAGTGCGTCTACGTTTCGATCTGCCTCGATGGAAAGGATGGCACAAAATTACCGAATGCATTCGTTTTATAGCAGCGAGGATCACTCACCCAGCAAGAAGAGGAAGATCGATTCAGAGGAAATTGTGATCGACGATGTGTTCAAGAAAAGCTACAACACGAACTTGAAAAACATTGTCTTCGGGATCGCGGCATCGTCCAAGCTGTGGCAATCGCGGAAGTATTATGTGAGAGAATGGTGGCAGAAGAGAACGATGCGAGGGTACGTGTGGCTAGAGACGCCGATAAACGGGACTTGGGACGAATTCGCACCCCCTTTCAAAATCAGCGCCAACACCTCCCAGTTTAAGTATTCGCGTCCGAAAGGCAACCGGGCTGCGTTGCGCTTGACGCGCATTGTCACGGAGACATTCAAGCTGGGGCTGAAGAACGTGGATTGGTTTGTCATGGGTGATGATGACACCATCATTTTCACAGACAATCTTGTGCGTATGCTGTCAAATTACGATCCCAAGCAGATGCACTACATTGGCAGTCACTCTGAGAGCCATGTCCAGAATACGCGGTTTTCCTACAGCATGGCCTATGGTGGCGGGGGATTCGCCATCAGCTATCCGCTCGCCAGAGCCCTCGCTACGACGCAGGATGGCTGCCTAAATCGGTACTGCTCCTCTCTACAGTTTCGATTGATCGGCCGATTATATTGCCTCAAATCTGCAAAATTAATTTTCCGAAGATTGCAACTGACAGTCTCCCGAGCTTCGAATTCTCGAAAGCGTAATGATTGTCATTTTTGTCCAGTTCGGACACTTTTTGTGGATTCTACTCTGATGACAAAGTGTGGAATAAGTAGGCGATATGCAATTAGTTCGAAAATTTGATCATACCCTTTTTTATATGTGATTGTTCGCTGGTGCTTCATTTCGACCTTGTTTCCAGATATCCGGAGCTATTCGGGAGTGATGATCGGGTTCATGCGTGTATTACAGAACTTGGAGTTCCAATTACGAAGAATCAGGGGTTCCACCAGGTAACACTCAGATTTTTCCCTGTACAGATTGTTGGAGTGTTGAAGGTTTTGACAAATGGTGGTGTCAGATTTGTATCAATCCGTCACGATCGCGCAATCTGTTTATGCATTTCGCAGTTTGACATTCGGGGAAATCCGATGGGTCTGTTGGCGGCACACCCAATGACGCCAGTGCTGTCGATTCACCATTTGGACATAATCGGGTCGCTTTTCCCGAGGAAGAGCCGGCTTGTAGCCCTGCGACTTCTGATGAGAGCGGCCAGGGTCGAGCAAGCTAGCATGTTCCAGCAAACCATCACGTACGCCCAGCAGAGACGATACTCATTCTCAATCTCCTCCGGTTACGTGGTGCGCGTTTACCAAGGTTTCGTGGCCCCGTGGGAGCTCGAAGAAGCTCCGCGCACCTTCTACTCATGGTATGGAAGTAAGAACCACGATCATTTCCCTTTTGACGTACGAGAGATTCCCGACGATCCTTGTGAGAAGCCCACCCTATTCTTCCTGTCCAAAAGGTTTTTGAATAATACCGCTTCGGGGTGCATTGAAACCGTCTACCTCAAGCATAGGCTCTCCGAATCGAATTCAAATGGCTGCGACGAGAGAATCAACTCTGTGGAGAGAATTCGTGTCCGTAGTACCCCTCTAGATCATTCTTGGTTTATGGTGAAATTTTCTTACCCATTTTAATGTTTTTCAAGCTCACTTCTGATAATGCATAGCTACTGTGACCTTCTTTCAGTTCGGGGTTAAGGTTTGTTGATCGAGTCCTATCCCTCTTTATTATCTTTCTTATGGGCTTCGTTTGCTTGCACAATGTGTATTCGTGATTCCAGCCGCGAAGACTTTGCGGGAGAGTCGAAATGTGGAAGAATGACACAATCGACATCTTTGTAAGACCCTGTCAACAAGGTGAGCTTGTTGTCGGGGTTCATTAGATTTAGAGATAGACAGACCCTCAACTCCTTCAAACAATATTTACAATCATGAGGAGCTCAAAAGGTGATCGGACTATATGTTTGGAGCTAAGTTAGCAAGGTGAGGGTAAAGCTTCATTTCTAAGACAGGCCGTTGGGAGCCTTTCGTTGCCACGTCGTGCTGTTGACAAAAGCAGCACAAGTTTCGACAATCACATATGAAGATCTGGCAGCTTATTTAAATTCAACAGAGATTTGAATTGGGACGAAGACTTCAAAGCAAAGGCCGGTATAGGGCCACATGGTGGAAGGGGCGTGAGTGTCACTTCCTTGTGATGCAGAGTAGAAGCTAAGAACTGCAGGGAGGAAGCACACAAAAGAAAGTAATTCGTTTCTAGTGTGAGATCTGTAAAATCGCACCTCTTTGATGAGAATAATTTTGGACAAGGAACCTATGAAGTTTCGCTTACTGCCAGGGGCCTTGCTGTTGCTTTGATTGGTTGTTGTCGAGTAGCAAGAAGGAATTGGTTATTAGTAAGACGAGCAAACCTCCTGCAGAGCCATCCCAAAGCTGACGCCGTCCACAATGAAACCATGGAATGGTATTTTGCTGTTCGCCTGTTGTGTGATAGAAGCCTAAATGAGATACAGCAACCATAATGCATCATGTTATTTGTCGGGCAGAAAATATATCTCATGACTTAGTAGCAACAAGTGAGCGGCGGAGGCCTGTGGAGGCGGAGCTGGGCTTGCGAAAATGTCGCAGGACGCTGCCTCCTGTGGAAGGTCTGAAGGGTAAGTGGACAGGGAAAGGCTGAGGCAAGCCGTGAGGTCCCCCTAGATAGACATTGGGTCGTTTCTCTGCTCGAGAGGTGACATTGGGTGTCGTCCTGCACTCCCACATATGCACATCAATGGTGAGTTTCTCATCTTTCACTCTAGCTGATGAATTGTTTTTTGTAATTTCAAAGACTAATAGTGCAATCGCAAAGACGGTGCCAAGTATCGTGGGACTTTACTTCGGTCTCTTGCCAATTGATGGGTGATGTAGCGCTTCTTGATAGTCCCGCTCCTCTTGCTGCAAAGCTTGCCGTTGCGATTCAATCTTACGAACCACCGCACTTTCTCTTTTCTTGAACGCTAATTCCCTTGCTGCCGCTTCCGTTGGGGGCTCTCCAGCAGCCAGTCGTAATTGAGCTTCATCGAGCTGGTTCCATGCGTCTTCTTTCTCTCGACTCATCGCCATCGCTTTAGCCTACACAAGTTTCTTACCCAAGAAATGAACTTTATACAAAATCTGCAACATATGGCGGAAAGCATTGCTGAAGAGAACTTCACTTCTGTAAACGTAAGAAAATGATAGAAACCAGTGAAACGGAGCAGAAATCTGGGGGGTCAGTTTTTGTGTGCAGAATGGGAGTACCTGAACAAGAGCGAGTTCAGAGATGGTTGCAACCACCGCGCGGCTTGTAGTGATCCGTTGCCGCACAGTATCGTTGAGTTTTTTGCTCAGTTCTATGCCCTTCACCAATTTCAGAGCCCCCTGTATCGTGGAGGTCTCCAGCAACTCTGTCAACTCTTCCAGAATGATGTCTTTCTCGGTGGCCTGGTTTTCTTTCTGATTTATAAACGCTTGCGTTATCCGGGCCTTGCGTTCTAGATCCATAGGTTTGTGATCATGCCCTTTCAACTGGCGCCATCGCTTGGTCTTTTCCAAGGGATTCTCGCACAAGTCTGAGAGCTGCGCCAGTTTGACTTGTGCTTTATGGACCTACCCAACGGTTGAGTAATTTGTGCCCACTTTCTCAGTCGGAAATGTATGAATCGAACTTACAGATCATTGTTAAGACGATTGATCATGACTCATTTTAGAAGTGCACCTGCTTTTTAAGGGACCTGAATTCTTCATAGAGAGCCGTGGGATCAGGAGTAATTCGTTTCTCAGTGGCAATGTCTGCTGCGACGCTCTTGCACTCACGGCGAAGTAATGCAATTTCGCCCAGCCGTCTAAGATGGTCTAGCTCTGAAAATTTCATTAAATCAGCCTGAAATCATGAGAACAGAAACATCGATCAACATGACACTATAATTTTCTTCTTCCACCGAGTAAAGCCCTTAATTCATCCTTGGTTGATTCCTATACATCTTTACTCCAGGCTCAAGGTAATCACTGACTTATCACAATTAGATCTGATATACTTCAGGTCATAATGAAGAGTGCAGGTGGCTCGCCAGCGGACCTGCACATTCGCTTTCTCGTACAAAATAGTCAGCTCGTCGTTCCGATCTATCACATTGAGGCCATATTTATTTCGGTCTTTAATGTGAACGGCGTATAAAGCTTGCATCTTTTTCTGAGCAATGACATTTTTTTGAAGCGATTCTTTCAACCGCTTCCTTTCCAGCTTGAGTTCACGAGCAATGAACTGACACAAATCCAAGAGCAACCCATTTCTAAGTTATGATATAAACATTCTGCATGCTGTAGAATTGCATCTGCATAACTTAGAGGCATGCTGGAGACCTTTTTTTGCGCCAGAACTATGAAGCACTTGTTGATATCTATTTTCACACAGCCACAAGCTTGCTGGCTGTCAAGAACGTGTTTGTGAAGCCTGTTGAAGATCTTCATCTTGTGGGTAACATCATCGTGAAGATATTCCGCCTGTTTCTGTGCGGGGTTTATCTTATCCTCCATCTCCATCAACTTAACGTTGCTTTCCTGCTTCGAAGAGGAATTATTTCATTCGGAAGCTTCAAGGATATCAGGAGATAAGGTTTAAGTAATATTGTGTCTTCAAATTGCAGAATGGTTGAGAAGTTGATTACATCGACAAGTCGCAGATATTTGTTGCGTTGACTGCGAATGTCGTTGTAGAGTAGAATGTTGGCTTGGTATTCCTTGTTTAGTTGCTCCTCCCGTTTAAGAAACCCCTTGTGATAACTCTTCTGTGTTTCGATTGTCTTCAGAGTTTTCTTCCACATCATATGCTACATCGATTGAAACGAGAACATGATGTTAACGAGGGGGATGGAGATGATTTCAAACATCCATTAGGGAGGGAGGGTGGGGTAAGCAATAACCTTTTCCGATACAACACGTTGAAAACGTTCACATGTCAATTTCAAATGGTTGTAGCGCTTTTGATTACTGTGATCTTCTGCAGCACACTTTATCAATTCTTTTTCCAGCACCTCCACCTGCAAGTCATGTCACAGAATTCCTTTCTTGCAGATCTATTTTTGGTGGGTCTAATCTTTAAAAAAGGATAATGAAATAGGCTGTGGTTGCCAATGAGTTGCAGCATCGGGCTGAAAGTGGGTAGGATAGATCATACCCGTTGGTTACATTGGCGCACTTGTTTGAGAATATTGTCTCCTAAAAGCTCTGATTTTCTCAAGCTTCGCATCATGAAGTCGACTTCTCCGCGAATGCCGACCACTAGCTCTTCCTGTTTTATGCTCTCTTCTTCCGCGGAAATGAACTGCATTTTGGCCGCAGATATTCAATCCGTGACCACGATATCATTGGAAGCAGGACAGAGAACTGGGCACATCACAATGAAACGAACCTCCTTTTGAGCGTTCTTCTTCTCTTGGCTATAGCTGGGAATGCTTGCTTGAAGGCTTTCCAGCGCTTGATGGACTTGTTGAAGTCTGGTGTGATCCCTATCCCGCTGCCGCAAGCTTCTGCTGTGCAGCTCTTGAGCGTATTTCAAGTCCGACAACTTGCCCATCAGCTGCAGGTCCAAGTACATCTATAACAGTAGCAATTCACACACGAGGAATTAGGATTACAATTTGAAGCCGTCAATTTAGTGGGCCGGCCGGCGGTTTAGTGATCGTGGTGCTACTCAATCTTTCACATGTAATGCATTGTAGATGGATACCTGATCATTGAGGTGATTCTCGGCGTCAGCTTTTGCAGTCTCCAGATCTTTGGTTAAGACGAGCGACATTTTTTCCTACACAATGTTGGAGCCCTAACCTTGTGAGGTCCTAATTTTCAGCTACTTCAGGCGATCTAAGCTTGAGAAAGGCAAGCTGGATGCAGGAGAAGGTAAAGTAGTACAGCACTCTTATGACCAATTAAGTCCTACTTGCTCTTGTTCATGCAATTGTGTCTTGTGGAAATCGCAAACTGCATTGACATGCTCTTCCTTCTTCACTTTGATTAAATGTTTTGCGTTGAGCAACTGTTTCTCACACTCTCCAACCTGCGAATGCTGATCATCTCTTAGTGTGCTGTGAATGCTGATGTGTATACTGACTAATGATCCACATTCATGGGATCGAATCAAGAGGATTCTTTAGACAAAATACCATAGAGCTTGTGACACGCAGTAAGCTCATAATATATATAAGTGTCTACTCATGGTTTGCGTAATACAGGAGTGTCATCGCCTGGGGAATGTAAATGTCGAGTGTCGAACCTTGCCAGTCCACTTCTCTAACTGCACACGAGAAACTTTGATGGCATTGAGTATAATATCAACCTACACCAACAACACGTTGAATCGCATTAATTCTCAACTGATACATTCAACTCGTTAGATCCTGACTACAGCACATAATTGAGGAACAGTAGCTTTAGAAATACATGAGTGGTTTCATCGTTTGAATATCTAATGATTGCATCAGGAAATCAATACCTGCTCCACTTCGGGGCTTTGGGTTTCTGCAAGATGTGGAGACTCAATGATTCTTCTTAGGCAGAAGTTCATGACTGCCAACGTTAATTCATGACTGCTAACATCAATTCTGTAATAATGACAACGTAAGTGAAGTTTGGATCCAACTCTGGACCTGTTTTTTCAGTGTCTCCGTTTTGCCAGCAAGGTCCTCCATCTTGCTTTTGTAGTCGAACTTCGTAGGATTCAGAAGTTTCATATCCTCCATTAGCTGCGTGTGATTTGCTTTGCTGTCTTCAATCTGCAAATGCACAACAAGCTTCGGCCGTCACACGTAGGTCAACATGAGTATTCCAGAGAGCCTGCATTTTCAGCGTGCAAAACTTAATACAGAGCTCCTTGTGCAGAGGTCAAAGATATTTCTACAAAATTGGGCTCTTCTCTACTTTACTCACCTTTTTCAATTAAACTGCTTTCCAAGATTAATCCAGCAGTGATTTGTTATAAAGTAAATCAAGGAAGTAGGTTTGGGTGCCCAAGATGTACATGCGTAACCACACCTCCTTCCTACTCTGATCCAACTGCTTATCTCGTTCCTTGAGTTCTTCTCCAGCCGTTTGGATTTCTTGCTGCACCCACCAAAAGCCAGCTGTAGCACAAGATAGCATCACTTAGGCGTAGACATAATTCAGATGAAAACTTAAGGGCTGCTTCAAAAGTTATAGCTAATAAACTATAGTGGGCTAATTTCACCAACTTGTATTCGTGCAATGACAGGCTCTAAGGCAAAGACATGCTCCCGTCTAATCTCTTCAACTTTATCCCCATAGGTCTGTCTCATATGCTTCAGCTCGTCGAGTTCCAGCAGCGCTCTCTCGGCCCTCTCTCTGATCATGCGAGAATTGGTCCCAATTTAAGCTGGCAATTATCGCATAGATTAGACAATAATCTACCTACTGCTTCAGTTGAAGAAGATAAGGGAAGATATCCAAAAGTCAGGTATATAATCGAATAAAAAGCTAGAATCAGAAAGCGGAGGTGTAGTACGTGGCCATGGAGGCTTCGAAGTCAGCTTCTTCTGCATCCTCACTGATCATGGCTGCCGTTTCTTCCTCTCTCTTTGCCTCCTTCAGCCACTTTTCGAGTTTCTTCTCTTGTTGCTGCAACCAAAAGGTAATATACAGAGCATAAGACATGTAGGCGAAGTAGGTATGTACTTTTGACTGCCAATCACCAGCTTTGACTTGTGGGACCTAATAGGTAGTGCATTGGTGCACAATGTCAGGACATAGCAACAACTTACCTCCCTTTCCATGGTCAACTCAGTGTTTTCAGCAAAGATCTTCCTCTCGTGTATAATTTTTTGCCGTAAAACCGCTCGAAGTTCTTCAAATCTGAACCCATGCCAGCCCATACAATAATAGTTCAAGTGATAATTTAGACACTGTTTCTACATCACGCTTAGTTTGACGGCAACGAACTGAAGTATTTATCCCAGAACCAAGGTGAGACGACGCTTGGGAATCCGCGCAATACTTGTTTTTCAGTTGATCCCTTCTTTCAGGATTGAGACGACCCGTCTGGACAGCCAGCCGGAGGCAGCCATGGACAGCTTCAATCTTCTCGATCTTCAATAGACAGTAGCCTTCTGGGTTCGCAATCTCTGCAGGCTCCATCATTGTGCTTGCGGAACAATAATGCCAACGCAATTGTCAACGCGACTGAAATACGATCATGGAATAGCTTAAATCAGCTCTTGGGGAACCAATCTTCGTATGAACTGTAAGTGGGTGAAACGACCCGTCATGTTCAATGCCAAGGTCCATTCGCGCATATTCCTCCTGTTCATACGTTAGAGCAGTGTTTCAGAATATAGCTGCTGAGGTATGGATTTCCATCAATCACCCCTCACCCAGTTGTGTCTAATTAAGAGGCAGCATTAGTTATAAGTAGGTTAAGAGATAACTCACTCTCTTCACCCAGTTACACGAATTTGTTAATAATCACACAAAGCATATTGTACATCGCCACCATCACCAAATTTCCGAGTGGTCCTGTGTAGGAGAGCATTCGTGAGGTGTCCAGACTCTCGCCAATCTGGGTATTGGTTCCCGTTCAGCGCAGATATTACGCACTGCCTCTCCAAACAGACTCAAGCAAATTGGTGCTCGGCAGTTGCAAGTGCGACGATGATTCACTTCCCCCATCAACTTCATTGCAGTGGTTACGTAATAATCGTGGCAGGGTAGAGGAGGTCCAGATTGATTCAACAACAACGGCAGCCTCTCATGCAGCAACCCTAATGAGGCCTTCGGCTGAATGTACTTACGGAGTACATTCGTTAAGAGACAACAATCCGTCGCAAGCCAAAAAGGTGTCTCATTTCCGGCTTAGTATACGTCCAAGCAAGGCAGAAGACCAACTTAGAAGTTACAAATTCAGCCAACAACATGAGGCATGAATAACCGCCAACACGAAGTCCGGGGTTTGTAAGGTGTCCAGTAGCTGCTGAAAACGCTGTGAGCAAAACAGTGCTCTTTGTTGCTAGGAAAACCAGTTGGAGAAATAAGTTAAATCTATACAATGAACATTGCAAAGTGAATTTTGAACATTAATGACCGATCTTTTGAATATGAAAGTGATTCAGTCGCGTTGACAATTGCGTTGTGTGTATATATTGTATGTATATTATGTATCTGTGTGTATATTATGTATCTGTGTGTGTGTGTGTGTGTATATATCTTATTCCTGTCTCTCAGGGCTTGCGTGCCGACGGATGAACTCATTTCTTCAAACATTAAGATTGAGCCCCCTTTATCACCGAATATACACAAAACGTCGAAATGTGCGCGGCAGAAAAGATTTCTTTGAAGTACCACATCGTTGGTAAGCTGCCAACCGGATGTTCGAAGCAAAGGTGGGAACAAGTTTGCAATGCCCTTCCGTCAATGAGGTTGTTCAATCGACGACCCCTTCGAGTATAACTCAGTGTTTGGAATCGACGAAGCACAGGAGGAGCTCAAGTATTCCTCTATGCCACCGTATGGACTAAAGGCGGGAGGCCTCTACACCAGTTCCATCGCTAGCAGGATTTGTTGGTGAAACTCCCATGGCTCACTCGTGCATTGATAGATGCTTCAATTCAATCAGAGTGGTTCTGATAACTTCACAATTGGTCTCAATATGATCATACACGTCCCTACTTATTGCGAGATGCAAAAAATACCAACATCACCATGATCGGTTCGCTTACTGATGTCAACAGCAGCATCTTTAAATGCTCGTGTGACAGAGGTTGTCCAATGACACAGTGCAGGAGCTACATTGAAAACATGCACGATCTCAAGCAAAGCAAAGGTATTCCTTTTTTATAAGAGTTAAGCTCATTAGAAAGGAAAAAAATAAAAATGAGAAAATTACAAAGAGACAAATTCAGGCAGGAACAACAAGCGCTGTCGTTGAGGAAGAAGCGTCACGATAAAGACTTTAGGCGTCAAGGAAGCAAAGTGCGCAAAGATGAAAAGTAAGAAGTTGAATACGGAGGGGATCGAGGGAAACTGGGTGGCTGCCCGCAGACGAAAGGGCTGGCCACCATCGCGAGCCTCGCACGGGGAGTCTTGCCCACTTCTGCTCTCCTCGCCTTGTCATCACCAAAAGTTTTGTGCCCTTAGTGAAGAGGCTTACCCACTGCTGCTCGACTCGATTCGCCATCACCAATAGCTTTGGGCCCTCTCGCTTCCATGGACATGCACATCATGTAACGTTGCTCTGTTGTGTGCGAGTTGCGCCGTGGATAAGTAGCTGCTATAGGTCATTGCACTCAGTGTGCTTCTTCTTGAGACAGCTAGCTTCTAGACTAGCACGTAGCAAGAAGTAGTCTGCATAGGGCGCTGTGGATTGAGTGGATTGAAGCGCGAGCACATGAGTTCGAGGATTTATCGTGAAGGTCGAGATGATGCGTAGTTTGATATAACAGTAAGTTTGTTTGGACTGTTTGGATGAACAGTTGCTTTGCTGGTGTGCATGTGCCCGTGAGTGTTTGAAAGTAGGCCTGATTCGCAAGTTCCCATCCTTGAGTGAATTGTTGAGCAATTGCTCTACTCGGCTCTGCACTGTGTATCTTCCGTTCCCCAGCTTTCGGTTGCTTACCTACAGCAATCCGTTGGAGTTGCGCCTCTTTTTCCTGTGATCACTGTTTTCCCTGTATGTATATGTTCCTGATGTTGCGTTCGAAGCGTTGACAGTTATTCATTGCAAACTTACATTTCAGTTCAATTACACTACATTGGGCTGTTCTTGCGGATTCTGACTCAACTTCTTGACTACTTCACGATTTCTGTTCCTCAGAGGATACGAGTGGTTCATGAGTCATCGATATTGGTCGCAGAGTGCAAAAGCTAAGACAATATCTTCTGCAACTTTGCCTCGAATGGAAGACAGTCATGACTAGTGTAGCGGTTGCGCCTAGCTTAGCAACCTGGATCAATGCCGTGTTCATGGCTGTATGTATCAATCTATTTGTGAATGTATTGTCATGGTGGGGGAGATCCGCTTTAAGGGGGCAGCGTCGCATCAATCCATCTGACCCTTGGCTTGATGCAGTTTGGGGGAGGGTGACTTTAAAGCCCGAGCTTTAAAGTGAGTGGGGAGGCAATGTTCAGATATATCTCGATCAAAGAAGAGAGGTGTTTTGTGACAAGATTTCTAAAGATTATCTCCTTGGGATGTTTCTAACCTTATCCCACCAAAGATTCATGTAGTTGATTTGCAACTATCGGTGTTTTACTGCATTTGGGGCTTGAATTGCTTGCACTCGCAGACTGAGAGGTATTCGTTTGATGAACATGTGTTGTTTTCTCTACGGTGGTTCTGTGTGCAGGAACTGACGCAGTCATTGGTGTTGAACGAGCTTTGAACCAGTGCAGAGGTCAGTATTTCCGTTCTACTTAACTATTTATATTTTTCCATGGAAAGTTGGAGATTATACGAGTGTGGCGACTAGTCCGTGTTACCAACTCTACTACTGCTACCAATTTCGGGTTTTGCTGTCTGATAATAAAAGAAAGTAACTGTGACACACATAAATTTGAAGTTTAAATTTGAGGCCTGCAAGGTTGGTGGGAGTTTGTCATGGTGTGCTGTAAGATTTTCTCAAATAAAGGACAAGTTTACAATGTTAATGATTCAAAAGACATTTCATAAAAATAAAAAAATAAATGTGAAACACCAAAGTTACTTTTGAATTGTGTTGAATTGACTAAATCTATCAAAGAACATTTGAGCCTTAATTCTTCACAAAGGCCAAAATTTGAAAATATTTGTGAAAATTTGATAGTATTAAAGAAATGATTTTAAGTAGAAATTAGTATGGCCAAAGTATCATATTGTGGTTTGTCAAAGTAAATACTAATTAAAATATAGATTCACAACAAGCTTATAATAAATTGCTAGTCACTAACAAGCTTATAATAAGTTATATAAAAACTTGTAATAAACATGTATTGAATTAATTTTAATACAAATATTTACATGTTATGGTAATGGTTAGATATCTAAATATTAGTATAGGTTTTTAAAACTAGATTATAGTATAAAATGTAATTTTATTTTATTTTAGTTTATGTTTATTTGGGATTTAAGTTCTAAATGCATGTCAATTTATTTGAAGAAGAAGTATTGGGTAGAATACAATGCTTATTTTAAACTACACAAATATGTGCAAATGAAGCTAAGGTATTATATTTTGTTGGAATAGATGTTAAGGATAAGAATTTGATAAAAATAAATAAACAAGTGAGACTTCTTTCAAAGAAAGATGACAAAATAGAAATAAGTCAATATGTATATTAAGAAAGAAACTAGAATGGCTATTGCCAAAAGACAACAAAACTAGAGACCCTTGAAACTATACTAGAAGTAAGAAAGAAGTTGACAAGAGTGAAGAGGGTTTCACTCTTGTCTCTATATATACTATCTAATTAGGGGCTATGTGGCGATGTTCTATAAGGCCTCCAATATGTATTGACTTTGTAGGACACATGCCTTGACTTACAAGGCAAGTTTTTCTACATGTAGGCTACATAATTAGCTTAGTCTTTAAGCTAACAACATGTATGGTACATGGCCAACTTGTTGACCACGTTTCTAATCTAAAAAGTCAATTAAAGATACTTATAAAGTCAAAGTAACATCTATGAAGCTTCTAAAAAGCTTTTATAATAAATATTATAGAATTAACTTACTTTTATCTACTTTTATTTACTTCTACTTATTTATACATGTAATTATTAGCCTACATGCATATGTTCGTAACAATAGATGGAATAAATAATATAACAATAACAAATATATATATATATATATATATATATATTTAATAATATAAATTACATGTATAATGCATCGAGTTTTATTAAGTATATTAAAGGTAGTATTGATTGCTATACAATATTTTAGATCAATTTAATTTCAAATCAAAACCAAAGAATATAAAAGAAGCTTAAGAAATTTTTAGTTTGTTTTTAATAAAATATAAAGTACTTTTGTTCTTTGATGATATAAAGAATCAAGGTCAAATTAAAGGTATTGTATACATAGATGATTTATTTGCTAGTAATAGTAGCTCATTAATTGTGTGAACTAGAAGTTCAAAATTAATAGATTATTCTTTTATAAATGTTAATAAAATAAATATAAAAGAAATTAATAAAGAAATAAGTTTAAGTTTTTTATTATTTATTCTTATGGATATTGAGAGAAGGTGCACGACAAATTTATTGGGATTGATAAACAAAAACTATTAAATTATTCAATGGCCTACTTTTGAGTCTAATAGTAATGGCTTTATTTTTAAGAAGAAAAAAAAAGAGAATGAGATGTTGAAAATAAGTTTTACAAATGTTAAAAAGATAATAAGAGTTGAATAGAGATTAAATAAATAGTAATTTTAATATTTAGAATATACTAAGAATAAGCTTTGATAACTTAAAAGTTAAAAAAAAGAGTAATTTTTTAACATATGTCATTTTTTGGTAATGATGTGCATCCACAAGTCATGTTAAAAGAAAGATCATTATGAATGTAGGTCAATAATAAACAAAAAAATATTAAAATAAGATGTGATTTTTATATTAGATAAATTAATTTATCAATTATTGGTAAGCACAAAAAAATATAGAACTATTAGAAAGCTTAATCAATCATAAAGCATAAGTCAAAACATTGTTGAATTTGAAATAAAGTAGAAGTATATATAAATGTAAAACATGAATAAGAAGTATTGCAATAAATTTAGAGAAATGATAAAGTGATCCAAATTTTTACTAAATCAATTCATATGCGCCATTCCTTTGTTCCCAGCTATTTCCTTGTTTCCAACCGTTGCTCCTATTCCCAAAGTTCTTAGCCTTCTTCCCCGTCCTTAGCAATGGTTGAAAATGGAGAATGCCTAGGAACAAGGATTGGAGCTCCAAAGGTGCAATGATGCTTAAGATAGAGTGGATTGCTTTAGTAAAAATTTAGGTTGGTTTATCATTTCCCTAAATTTATAAATAAGATCATTTTTATGATTATTATGCAAATATATAAATAAATAACAATATATAATCATTATAATAAATAATTAGCCTTTAAATATTGAAAATATGATATTTTGATTTTATTTTATATTATATTATTTTTACTTTCATGTTAATACAAATAAATTTAAAACTTTAATCAACTAAGTAATTGAATAATATAAAATCAAAATAAATATTATCTTGTACTTGGTTGTAATAGATTTAAAAAAGTATTAAAATATAATTATGCGTGTATATATCTCATGAATTAAGTAATTTATAAAAAATTATTATCTTGTATTTGGTTGTAATAAATTTAAAAAATATTAAAATATATTTATGCATGTGTATATCTCATGAATTAAGTAATTTATAAAAATATATATATAGCTAGTCTATTTACAAGCAAGAGAATCAAAGGATTGTGTAGGTCACCAATAGAATGGAAAATGAAGTATAAAATATAGTGATAGAGTACTGCCAAATTGTGTCTTTCTATAATTAATAAGAAAACCAAAAAAATTCTTATATCAAATATACTATTATATTTTGTGTATTTGCCTTACTTAAAATTGTTATATATATATATATATATATATATAAGCAATGAATTTCACTTCTACATGCAATCAACAACCATGTTTAATTTGAGATTAAAAATATGCAAAATGTGCATCAAAATGACATGCAAGAATATGGAGTTTACAAGGTAAGTGGTGTAGCCCATGGTGACAATGGTTGCATGGAAGGTCAAGGTTTGAGCATCATCAGCATATCAGGATGGAGGGCAACGGAGTTTTTGATGGAATTTGGCGCCTTTATTTGGTTTGAATAGCTCCTCCCCACTTCCCCAGTCCACGCTGCCATTCCACGCTGGCAGCTAATGAATTGCGCGCCACCTTGACGGAGAGCCAGGCACAGGAGCTGATCGACCACGGATGAATCCTAGATGGTACATCAGTCTGTGCTGGGTGGGTGACTGTTGAGTTGTGGGTTAGGGTTAGTGGACACGAGAAGGGGTTTTGCGGAAGGGGGAGGTTCGACGGTTGAGGACGGATACGAGAGATTGCTGGTGATGTCGTGCAAGAGCTGTTGTTTTTGTTGTTGTTTTCGTGGTTGTTGAGGAATTCGGGGGTGGGTCTCAGGAGATTGGCAAGATGAGTGCGAGTTGGCATTCGCTTCTGGTGCGAATTGGAGAACGGTGTCCAGAGTATGGAGGGCTGGCGGATGCCGAGGAGCATGTGGAAACCTGCTTTGGGTATCTCGCGAGGGACTTGTCGCACAACGAGAGTGAGATCCTGGCTCTGCTGATGCAATGTGTGGAGGAGCTGCCCCACAAAGATCCCTTGTATGGCGCCCTGGTGGGGCTTATCAATACCGAGGATAGAGAGTTTGTGGGTAAAGTCGTTAATCGGACGCACGCAGGGGTCCAGGAAGCGCTGGACACAGACAATTGTAACAAGCTCCGGATTCTCACCAGGTTTTTGACGGTACTGATGTGCAATAGCGTGGTGTCGCCCACGTCGCTCATTGAGCTGTATGAATCGTTGGTGTCCTCAGCCGCAACTACGGTAGATGAGGAGACCGGTAACCCCGCATGGCAGGCGCGTGCTGATTTTTACGTCTTTTGTATCCTTGCGTCTCTGCCATGGGGTGGTATTGAGCTTTCAGAGCGTGTCCCAGAGGAGCTAGAGCGTGTCCTCAACGGGATCGAGGCTTACTTGAATTTGCGGAAACCGGTGGTGTATAGCGCCCTCCAAGTGTTCGAGGAAAGCGAGAAGCTCGTAGAAGTTGGGGACGACACAGAGATGAAGCTCCCTGAGTCAGAGGACTATCTGGAGAATCTCTGGTCCAGCATCCAGGCGCTAATGGAAAATTCATGGAAAGTGGACAGCGTGCCGCGGCCGCACCTCTCATTTGAGTCACGCTTTGTGAACTCGCAGACTCATGATTTTGATCCAGTCCTAATTCCAGATAATCCTAAAGCTCCAGAGAATGCTACCGAGATTACATTGGGCCGTCAACGCCAAGAGGCGGAGCGCACATATCCTCGAAGAAACATGCGCCTGCGCATTTTTCCCTCCTCAAAAACAGATGAGAAGATCACACCGATTGATAGGTTTGTGGTAGAGGAGTACCTGCTTGATGTACTGTTCTATCTCAATGGATGCCGAAAGGAGTGTGCTGCGTACATGGTTGGCCTTCCAGTGCCGTTTCGATATGAATATATCATGGCAGAGACAGTCTTCTCGCAGCTTCTGTTGCTTCCAAAGCCACCATTCCGTCTCATTTATTACACAGTAGTGATGGTGGACCTGTGTAAGGCGCTTCCAGGCGCTTTTCCTGCTGTAGTGGCTGGTGCAGTTCGTGCTCTCTTCAAGAGGGTCGCAGAGATGGATGTGGAGTGTCGCATTCGCTTAGTGCAGTGGCTATCTCATCATCTCTCCAACTTCCAGTTTGTGTGGCCGTGGGAAGAATGGGCACACATTCTAGACCTTCCCAAATGGGCGCCAGAGCGGGTCTTTGCGAAGGAGGTGCTGGAGAAGGAGGTCAGGTTGGCGTATTGGGAAAAAGTAAAAGACAGTGTTACATCGACGCCAAGGCTCATGGAGCTTCTTCCTCCAAAAAACACGCCTGTATATGTGTATGCACCTGAGAACAGAGGATCGGTTCCTGAAGCAGAAACTACTCTCGCCACTGAATTCACGAATCTTGTGAGAGGCAAGAAAACTGTTCGTGAAATTCAAGTATGGATTGATGAGCGCATCTTACCGACACAAGGGCAGCAAGCCTCAATCCAAATTGTGGCGCAAACGTTGCTGTACATTGGGTCAAAAAGTTTCACCCACACTGTTACTGTCCTTGAGAAGTATGGTCAAATTTTTAGGAAGATAGCACCCGACCAGACCTCTCAGATTTTAATGATTGACACCGTTTCGCAGCTGTGGCGGAACTCAGCTCAGATGACAGCCATTGTCATCGACCGCATGATGGGGTATCGCATGGTCTCGAACTTATCCATTGTGGCCTGGGTATTTAGTCCTCAAAACGTGCAGCAGTTTCACACTTCCGATCAGGTTTGGGAAATTATTCGGAATGCAATCAATAAGACCAACAATCGTACAGTCGATTTGCGGAAGGAAATTGCAGCCGCCGAGAAGGCCCTGAAGCTGGCAACTGCAGGTACAGCCAAAGCTTATACCAAGTGGGAGGCAGCTGTGGCAGCTCTCAAGGCAGCTGAAGCCAAAAGTGAAGATAATCGTAATGCGTTGAGTGCCAAGGTTGACTGGGCTAAAACTGTAGCTGACAAAGCCCAAGACGAAGAAACTTCCGCACAGGACTCTCTGGAATCCAAAGAGGCTCTGCTTGCACGGGCACTACGAGAGCAGGAGGCTTTGTTTATGGCCGTCTATCAAAGCTTTGCAGATTTACTAACCGACCGCCTCTCAAAATCGGTTCCCGAGTCTCATGGAGCGCCGAATCCAATGGAAGATACGAAAGGGGAAGATGCAGATGCTCAAGCACCAGTTGCCATGGAACCTGATGAAGAAAATATCGAGGAAGACGGTACTAAGCAGAAAAATCAAGAAGACGTAATCAATGGTACTACAACCTTATTTGCTGATGCACAGGAGGAAGAGCAATGGCGCAAGTGTACCCTAGGCTATCTACGCGCCATTTCAAGACAGTACTGTGACGAGGTATGGTTGCTGATGGAGAAGCTTGACTCTACTGTCTTCACTGACAAGGTTCACCCTCTGGTGTTGTCGACAACTTACGCTGGACTTCAACGGTCATCATGATTATTTTCATGTACCTCCTCCTGTCCATTTTGTTTTTTTGACGAGTTGTGAAGGCGGAGAGGATTCGAGTTACTGCCAAGTTCAGACTTGGCCTGAAGTACCTCCCAATTCTCTAAGTCACAAATGTGAGCTGCAGATGAGCCGGCCGTTCATTTAGGTCTACGAAATGCTTGGAATTTTACTCACGAAGATGAAGTTTGGAGTAACATGATTTCATGTTGCAAGATCTCCTCATTTATGGCTCTGTTCTACTTTACCTCCCTCATCTTGCCAGACTCGCAACGAGCGTAGAGGCTTACTTCGAGGTGTCTGATATAGCAGCGATCACTATATGACTCAAATTTCTGCCCTCTAGCACATCTTATGTTACTTCTGCTGAGAGTCCCAGGAAGTTGTAATCGACCGACAATTTTGTAAAATTTTACGTGCTCATACCAGATGATTACTTTCACCTTGTGCTGGGTGATGCTTGAGATCTCTGTAGATTCGTGCAACGGGCGAAAGAATTCTCGTTCGCATAAAAATTGTAATGAAAGGCTCAAGAATGATCCACGCAGGGAACATCGTCTTTAACACATACACAACTTTCTCTGAGGAGTTCTATTCCTGCTTCACAGGCTCCTCCGGGCTTCCAGAAGCCTCCGTTTCTGCCGGAAACGCCGCGCTCCTGTGCTCCTCTCTCCATCTTAACCCTTCGCTTATCAAGGGCTTGAACACGTTCCCGTTCAAGGCCCCAGCTCCCAGATTCGCTCTCAGGTTGAACACACTCGGTGCACCCACCATCCTCATCATCCTCGGCGCAGCCATGACCATCAACCCACTTCCGGAACTCTTGACCTTCGCATTCCGAAGATCTGATTCGCCTCGACTGCTCGACTCGCTGGGATGCTACTCGCCATGGCTACTGCTTCAAGATCTCCTGAAGCTCCCAAAGGAGCTGGAAGAGTCGGACTCGACCATGCTACTTAGAATGTCTGAAGAAAAAGTCGACACAGTTGGCTGGGGAGAGAAACGAGACAGATATCGAAAGGTATCTGGTGCACGCCCGTCAATAGAAACGTCAACCAATTCCGAATGCTAGAACACATTCTGAGGTAGCGGAGTAAATTGGTGACAATTCGACAAGCATCAACGACACGTCCAGCAGGACGGTTGTATACTGCAACTCTTGCGACCATTGGCACAAACCCACCTCGTACAGGCATTGATTTCTAGGTCTCCTCCGCTCCCGTGTGACTATACCCTCGACGTTCATTCGGATTCGGATCCAAATTTACTATGCAGCAGCTTCACTTGTCAAGCAGTGCGGCAGCCATAGGCTATGCGTCAGTGGCGAACTTGGCTTTGGAGGAAGTCGCGGAGTTGGGAGCCAATCTGTTAATAGAACATTAGTTTATCTAGTCAGATTATCAGCTAGCATCCAGTCAGATTAGCAAGAGTCACAACTTTAGGGTTAATTTAGAGTTGCACTTGGTGATCATCTTCGTATCTAACAATATTCTGTTACAATGATATTAACATATAATAGAAATATATAAATATAAATATATATATGAAACAATTTACTTTCTTATCTACTGTTCTTCCTCAAGCATAGTATCAGAGCTGGATCATACGTCTCAATCACTATGAGCTCTACTTAAGCAGAGGTGAGACCTTTGTTTGAATCACCTCTCAATCAAGCTGGTTTTGCAATTGGTTCTATCAGCCAGACCTTTGTTTGAATCACCTCTCAATCAAGCTGGTTTTGCAAATGGTTCTATCAGCCACTTGCCTGAAGTTAAACCGAATCGTCTTGCACCACCTCAATTTGTGTGAATCACATATGGTGTTCAGGTCCAAATTATGAGCCATATTAGATGGCACCGAACTTGCTCTTGGAGAGTTTGATGAGTTTGGATTAGCTGCTTGAAAACTTAAGGATTCCAAAGAGTAAGCCGATATTTTTAGCTGAACCGAAAACACTATTCTACTTGGTATTGAAGAACAAGCACTTTGAAGTCACAACACTTAGCATCTGCAAAGCTGCACACAAAAGGGAGTATGGAATAAGATAACTCTTACTTCCAACACTTCTTACTTATAGGTGGAGGTTGCCAACTAACAAAGCAACTTCTATTAACGTTACATCCATTTCTACTTCATCCAACTAAATCCTAGGTTCTTTCTTAACTTAGCCGCCACCTACAAATCCTACATACTATTATAGTAACTTCCTTATACTCTTTTGCCTCCTTTCGATCACTAGCAACTTACCTAAGGTAATACCTTTTACTAAGTGACTTACTTCAATACTCCCACTTTGTTTTTAATCAAGGGCTTTCAATCCTAATGCCTTTGTCAACATGTGGTGTCTATCCTTTACTAATGCCTTTCTCAACAAATCAACAAGCATGTCTTTCATTGCACAATACTTCATATCAAGTACTCCTATTTCAATCTACTCTCTTATGAAGTTATGTTGAATGTCAATGTGTTTTGTCCTTGAGTGATGCTTGGGATTCTTTACAAATGTAAGACATCCTTGATTGTCACACTCCATTGGAGTTGCTTCCATTTGCACATCTCCAATGTCTTCCAAAAGTTATCTTAGCCATATTGCCTCCATTACACCATGGCTTGCTGCCATATACTCCACCTCCATTGTTGACCTTGTAATTGTTGGTTGTTTCTTGCAATTCCATGATATAGCTCCCACTCCAACAAAGAATACATATCCCATTGTTGATCTTCTATCATTTGCATCTCCAGCCTAATCTACATCACAATAATCATATAAAGTAATGTTATCACCTCCAAGACATAATTTGAAGTTCAAAGTGCCTTTTAAGTACCTCATGATTCTTTTGATAGTTGCCCAATGGATTGGTCTAGTCTTTGACATGTGTTGGCGCACAACACTCACCGCATATGCAAGATCCACCTTTGTGCCAACCATTGCATACATTAATAAGCCCTCTGTTGCCTTGTATGGAATTCCTTGCATTTGACCTTCAACTTCAGCAAATTCTTCATCCGTAAGCTTCATCAACTTCAAATTGGCCTCCAATGGTATTCCAATAGGCTTACACTCCTTCATGTTGAATCATTTCAATACCTCTTCAATATACTTGCTTTGTCTCATTGAAATGGTCTTCTTAGCACGATCTCTTACAAACTCCACTTCTAAACAATAGTGAAGTTCTCCCAAATCATTCATCTCATACTCTCTTTCTAACTTTGCCTTCAACCATTTTATTATCTTCATAGTATTGGTTAAGATAATTAGATCATCAACATATAAGATGATAATCAATATGAACTCATTTGATTGCATGATACACAAGGAATGATCAACTTCACTCTTTACAAATCCTTCAATCACAAAGAAAGTATCAATGCGTTAGTACCATGCCCTTGGAGATTGTTTTAGTCCATACACAGATTTTTTCAACTTACAAACAAGATGTTGATTGCCTTCTTGTGCAAATCCTTGAGGTTGATCCATATAGATGTCTTCTTTTAAGCTTCCATTCAAGAATGCCGTCTTCACATCCATTTGATGCAGCTCCAAGTCCATTGCTATCCCAATTGCCACAATGGTTCTAATGGTGGTGAATTTGGCCAGAAGAGCAAATATTTCATTAAAATCAACACTAACAACTTGTGAGTAGCTTTTGACAACCAATCTAGCCTTGTATCTCATAATATTATCCATTGCATCCCTTTTGGTTCTAAATACCCACTTACAACCAATTGAAGTTCGATTTGGTGGAAGTTAAATCAATTCCCATGTTCCATTGTCCATAAGTGATTTATATTCTTCTTCCATAGCATTCTCCTACTTGATAGCATCTGTGGACTTCATTGTATGACACAAGCTTAATGGATCAACAAGAAGAGAAACATTGACATGTTCTTCACTAACTTAAGGAAATATGTGGTCCTTCCACCATTCACTACATGGTTTTCTTTCTTTCAAAAGATATCTTCTTTCATTTGGAGAGGCTTCATCTTCTTATACTTCATGCTCTCTTCTAAGCTTCTTCTTCCTTAAAGCTTGTCTTTTTTCACTTAAAGGTTGATACTCCTCATCATCATCATTATCATCATCAATATCTTCATTGTATTTATTGTTGGTTCTAACAATTGAAGGCACACTATGGTCTACCTTCTTTGGCACTTTACCTTGATTTGCATTTCTTCCATCTTCATTGTTACCATCAACTTCTTCTTTCTTTGCTGAAATTAATGATATGTCCACAAACACACCATTACTTCCACTTGGACACATCTCCAAGTGCTCAAAAGCACTCTTATGCTCCAAAAACTCAACATCACGACTTTTGATGAACTTTTTGGTTTCTAAACACATTAGCTTGTATGCCTTTGTACCTTCACAATATCCAACAAATACACATTTTGTATTCTTTGCATCAAATTTGGACCTCATGCAATCTGGTATTTTTGCATAAGTAATGCATCCAAAGATCCTCATGTGTGAAATACAAGGTTTCTTGCCACCCTAAGCTTCTTGTGGAATCATTGATGTGAGTGCACTTGTAAGGCACATATTCCTTGTGTACACTGAAGTAACGACGGCTTCAGCCCAATACTCATATGCAAGATATTGTGTATGAAGCATATTCCTTGTCATCTCTACAATGGTATAATTTGCTCTTTCAACAACTCTATTTTGTTGTGGAGTGTAAAGAGTAGAGATTTCTCTTGCAATACCTTGAATCTTCAAGAATTCATTGAAATGCTTTGACATGTATTCACCTCCATTGTTAGTGCACAATACTTTGATCTTGCACTCACATTGTTTCTCTACAAGAGCTTTAAACTCCTTAAACCTTGAAAAACACTCACTCTTAGCTTTTATGATGTAAATTCATACTTTTCTTGAAAAATCATCAATGAATATAACAAAGTACTTTGCTCCTCCAATTGATGGTGTCTTCATAGGTCAACAATCATTAGAATACACAATCTCCAATAATTTGGTTGCACAAGTTGCCACTCCATTTGGAAATGAACTCTTTTGTTGTTTGCCTTGTATACAACCTTCACAAGCAAGTGTCATGGCATTGTGGCTAAAATGACCAAGATCCAAGCCACCTACCATGGATTGAAGCTCTTTCATGCATTTGGCATTCAAATGACCAAATCATTGATGCTAGATTCCAAACTTGTCTTAGTCTTGTGAAAAATCAGCAAATGTAGCCACTTCAACTCCATTCACCTTCTTACAATTGATGAAGTAGAGATTTCCATCTCTAAGGCATTTAACAACATGTTGTCTACCCATTGTCTTCACAAAGCATCCATTCATGTCAAATTGAACCTTACAACCATGTGATACAAGTTTATTCACCGATAAGAGGTTCTTTTTCATCTTTGACATATGTAAGACTTCCTGCAATCTAATCCTCTTGATTTGGTCCTTCACAATGAT